CAAGTTCCTATTAAAATTAGTCCCAAAAATCTGTAATAGAAGGGCTCCCCTTTTAACTATAGGACAATTTATCTTGGTTTCTGTCAAAGATATGAAAAAGTTATTAACTGATAAAATTCTTATCATAATATCAGAAGTGTGTTATCAGTTGACACATTCTTGATATCTCGCATGCAAATTGGGAAAAAATGAGCTCAACGTGCAAGTGGCCTTCTATTAGTGTTTACGGTAGAAGGGCCCCTAACTTTTAAGTTTGAGTCAAATTATTTCGGTTCTTGGTAAAGTTATAAAAAAACTATCAACTGATAAATTGTTTATGATTATACCACAAACCTTTTATCAGTTGACACATTTTTTATATCTTGCATGGGAGTTGAGATAATTGAGCTCAAACTTGACAGTGTGGGCCTTTCTATTACAGGTTTTACGGTACCACTAGTATTTCTAGTTCGATTCTAGTAGTATGTGTATTTCTTAAACCTTTTCTCCAGCATTTTCTCTATTCTACTCTCGATTACTGAATCACAAATCGAGTGTAAACTATTTCGTTTTCTCACTCAATTTTCCCTTCTCCTGCTTTTGGTCTGACTCACCATTTCCCGTTCTTTCTCTTTCCATTCCTTCTTCTCTTTTTTCTTCTCACATATATCTACATATCCATAACAAACTGTGTTTCTTTCCATCCTTTTCCTTTTTTCCAATCACTGTTCACCAAACAAAAATGATTTTCCGTTCTTGTTGCAGTCTGATTTCCTATGCTAATTCAATGAGTGTGTTTGAATATGTAAAACAATCCGAAAAAAAGAGAAGATTTTTGAATGTAGTTGACACTTGCAAATTGAATCCGAAATTCACGACTTCCAGCTCGTTTTTTGGAAAAAAATAGAATGGATGCTAGAAGAAAAACAACATTTTATACTAGTCTAGCATTGTTTGTAGTTGAGTTTTAGTTTAGAATCTTGAAAAAAAGTTTACACAAGGCATCTCATAAAGCTGCCAACTCCACCTGACCTTTATTTTCCTTGAATTTACATATCAATTGAATCGTTATTCATAGAATCCCTGAAATTCCACGTCATTTGAAGCTGTCACCACATCGTTGTCTTCTGATCGACGTTTCACCTATATATAGCTGTTCCTCCCCACAATCGGTGTATTTTTCGCCCGTTTTATCGTTCTCATCTCTTTTTTCTTCTTCTTCTTCTTCTTCTGTTCCTTTTTTCCAACATCAAAAAAATCATAAAACCATCACTAGCATGCAAATACTAGGAGGAACGTTATCTCTTTCCCCGTTTCACAAATCCATTTCCGTTGCTTCATACTCGTATGGAATATATATCTGAAATGTTCAAAAAAACAGAGATTCTTTCATTTTTCTATTCTATTTTTTCCTCTGGTTTCGCTTCCTCTTCTACCAGCCGAAACCTCATTAAACGGCCACTGAAGCGGGGGTCCCAGCTCGGCGAAGAAAAAAAAAACGAAGAAAAGAGTCCATTATTTTGATATATTTGTTTCCTTTCTTCCCGGAGAGCTTATTTCCATCATTCGCTCCATTGGCTCCACATGTCTCTGCAAACGTTTTTCTTAACTTTTCCAAACAAAAGAAGAGCGTTCTTTGTTTCAAAGTTTTGCACAGATTTTTTAAATAAACCACTTGAGTATAGTAGTCATGGGAATAGATAAAAATGTATTCATATTTTGAAATATTTTCTCATGATCTCTGTTGAAGTCTCATATAATACCTTCTGAGAAAATGAATCATTCGTACCGTAAAAGCTGCGATAGCAGGGCCCCATTGACAAGTTTCAGCTCAATTATCTCGGTTCCTATTAAAGATATCAAAAATGTGTTAACTGATAAAATGTTTATCATAATATGAAAAATATTTTATCAGTTGAAGGATTTCCAATATCTTTGACAGGAACCGAGATAAATTAGATCAATGTCAAAAGTTAGTGAGCCCTTTTTTTACAGGTTTCACGGTATTAGGTTGTTCGGAAAGTCCTTTCCATTTTTAGCGTCAGATACATTCAAAGTAAAATAGGTCAAAACGATGTCGGATAAATTGGATGTAATGACCATCGTTATCAATGACTATCTGCCAATGCCCCACTCATTTGTGGATGCATTCCTTCCAGAACTCCGGTCACAGTGAGTTCAAAATCAAGTCAACCCATTTTTGATACGTTGTTTTGATGTAACTTTTCGTCAATCAAGATGACGTTAGAAATGGCTGGATGGGTAATAATCAGAAAGTAGAAGGTTAGAGCTATACAGTGAATAAGGCAGAATCGTCTAGACATATCCACCGTGATCGGCCTGGGTCTTCCTTCCCGCATGAGGTTGCGAATTTTAATTTTGAAAATAAACCTTTGCGTTCCTCTCCAATCGAGATCCACATAAAGTCTGAGGTCACCTGACAAGAATAGGTATGGGTCGTAAAAGTGACACTATTATCAGGCAGCTCCTAATACTCCATTCATTGGTAGACCACCATACCGACAACATCCTATTTTTAACCCGAATTTCACGTTTCGAGATGTCTGGTGGTTGAGTGCCTTTGTCAACCCACTTGGCATGTTGCTTATTGTAATCACACATTACCCATTTATCACCACTAGCAATGGTTTGATTCCATCATTCATGTGTGCAACGCAGGATGAGAAAGTTCAAACAGGTGCCCACCCGGGGAAAAAAGTTGCGTGAAAGATGGGGTCAATTTCTTCCCGCTTTTTTGACTGTGCCGAGAGTTTTCAATCTACGGTTTTTTAACGAAAGGCTTGCCACTGATGTACTTCATATATCACACACAGTTTAAGGAGGGTCCCTTTCAATCCTGATTTTTAATCCTCGCTTTTACCCCGTTCAAAAAAACAAAGTTTGAAAACAACAGATCAAAAATGGAAAGGACTTTCCGAACAACCTAATATATACCTATTTCCTATAACCATCAACTTTGAGCTCAATTATCTCAATTCCTGTGAAAGATATCAAAATTTTTCTAACTGATAAAATATTGGTGATATTTTGATAAATAACTTATCAGTTGATTACTTCTTGATATCTTTAACATGAATTGAGATCTTTTCTTCTTGATATCTTCTTGATATCTTTAACATGAATTGAGAGCTTTTATTAGAGGAAATACGACACTTTTTTTTATCATATCCCAGTTTTCATCATCGTCTAAGAGGAATTCAACCTATACCGTAACTTTACGCGAGTATTGGAAATTTTGGAATCCTCGTCTCCCAAGTCGTCACGTTCTCATATTCTCTCAATATACCAGAAACTATTTGTATCCCACCCATATTTTTTCCTATTGTTGACCTGTACATACCCATACCCCCATAATGCTGTCGTCTCCTCATCATCACGTTTAGTACATACGTTTCCAAAAAGTCTCTCTTTCTACACATATCTTCTTCCTTTTTTCATAGAAGTAGCTTTTCTTATCTCTATTTCATCTATTCTTCTTTTTCTTCTACTCCCACTACCCCTCGTTCTTCCGATTCCTACCAGAAAACCCGCGATTTTTTCGACGCTTCTTTTCTCATCTGATGACAAGGTTACTTCAACTTTGAGACCACCCTCACACAAACGTTGAAATGTCTATTGTTTTATAAATTGAAATCAGACTAGATCATCTTCGTAGAGAAAACGAAAATGGATATAAAGGAGGGAAGGAAGAGGAAACTGATTTACTTTTTTTGAAAATTTGTTTCAATTTGACCTGATTACTATCTAACAAAAACAGATCAGTGGCTTCGTGCTGTTCCCGTTCATTTCTCTGAAGCCGTTCCAAAGATGCATTTCTTTCTTTACTTCTTCTTAAGAATTCTATGAATCGAATAATCAACTTTTAAATAAACGAAAAGTGTTTGTGTGCATCAGAAATTTAATTTGGTTAAATAGTAGTCCTCCTTTGTCAATCAGATAATTTGTTTGGATTTCTAAATTTTCTCTAAATCATCCTATAAGATCAACTATTTTTAATAACATGTTGGACCTGGTACTTATCATAAATGAATTTTTATTTATTTCTTTTGCTCGAAACTTCTGAAAAAGATACCTCCAATTTTATGGGATTCCGTAAAATCAGAGGGGCCCAAACACCGTCAAGTTTGAGCGAAAGTATCTCAGCTCCTATGAAATATATCAGAAATATGTCAACTAACAAAATGTTTGTGATAGTATGATTAACAAATTATCAGTTGACAAGTTTTTGATATCTTTAACAGGAACCGAGATGAATTGGATCAAAGTTAAAAGTACGAGGGCCCTTCTATTACAGGTTTTACGGTGGTTCCTAAAAATTTTTAACCCACGAGTAGCATTCAAAATAAATTTTCGACACAAATAATTCAAAAACTTTTTATGTGAACATCTAGGAATTAACACCAACATTAAATCTATCACCTAAATATTTTCCCAAATCCTATCTTCCTTATATATAAAACGCTAGAGGCGTCTGTCCGTCCTCATGTCCGTCTGTCAAATTTTGAAAAACTTTAAAAATAAAATAGATTTACGTTACCCTTTTAGATGAAGTGAGAAACGAAGCGACGAACCATTTTTTTAAATCGATTGAATCGCTCCAAAGGCGCACCAGCTTGCTGGTTTTCCATAAGAATTTGGAACAAAACAGATTTGACTTTTTTTTGTTGTCTTCCCGTTTAACATGTCTCGTTTCAACACTTCCCATGTTATGTTCTCCTCCCACTTCTCCTAGTTTTTGACTGTCAATGGTCATCTTCTTCCGATTGACTTCTCAGTAGTAGCACTCATTTTGACATGAATGACCTTTTTCGTGTTGAATTGAATAAAATTCATTGCATAAACTTTGGTTTTTGTTCCTTTTTTTTCAAAACTACATTTGTAATCTTCGATATTCTTTCCCCACATTTTCCCATTCGACATCAAAAATCCTTCTGATAATTGATAAGAACTGATTTACGCCCATTTTTGCAAGTTTTTTTTTCATTTTTTCATATCGAACGATGATTCAGAAATATATCCAATGTCCCGAAGCAAAAAATGAAATGAAAAAGATGGGAAAAGTAAGAGCTACTGTTTATTTTTGTTTTGGTAGATTAACACTTTAGAAAATGAAAAGTTTTCACTCCCGACACTTTTTGTAAACTTTTTTTGACTGAAAATTGTGAAAAACAAAGAATTCAGCTTTCGAGTTGGCTCTCTTTTCCAATTTCCGTTTCAAAAAAAAGTATCAGAATACGTCTACTTGTTGATCCTCCTCCTCTTCCTTCTTCTTCTTCTCACTTCCGAGATTTCTCCATTTTTTGGACGTTTCCGTTGCGCTTACCCAATCTGGGATCCCAACAAAAGAAGGCGTGGGGAGAAGAGGAAGAATTGAAGACGTCATCCTCCCCTTTTCTTTGTGCTCCAGAAGATCATGATCATAGGGAAAAAAAAAGAAGTTCGGAGATTTTTTGGAATAGAGAGATAAATCTTTTCTGCCAATTCCTTATTTTCTTAGATCAAGATTTTTGCTCTTTGTACAATTTTTATGCATAAAAACAACCAATTACCGTAAACCGAAAGTATTAAAATGATCTCATTATTCTGAATGTCTTTCACAAGATTCCCTCAAAAAAAAACAAGTTCCGTATTCTAAAAATTCCTCAAAAAAGCCAGTAATCCAGAAATTGCATTGTTCACCTAGAATCTATTATTGTTTTCACTTCTCTCTGCTTCCATCGTCTCCTTTTTGAGCAAATCCGTAAATTCCCTGAATCAAACCACATTAGACATCTCTGGTCAGTAGGCGTTTTTTCTACTCTCCCACGCTTGGATAATGGCTTTTAGAACTCTGAATTCGACATATCTCTGATTTCTTTTTTCTTAAAGCAGTTTCTCTATTTTAAATTTCCAATCTTTTTATTTTCCAAACCTACTTTCCAAAATACTTGCTGAAGATTTTAATTATTCTATGATTCCGCAAAACATGTAATATGTAGAAGGTCCCCCACACTGTCAAGTTTGAGCCAATTTATCTCGGCTCTTATGCAAGATATCAAAAATGTGTCATTTAGTAAAATTTTTAAGACATAATGCTTAAAAAATTAACGGTTGACAACTTTTTTGTATCTTCTATAATAACCGAGATAAATTGGCTCAAAGTTTAAAGTAAGGGAATCTCTGGAGCAACGTTTTGAGCTAATTCTTTGTTTCTTTTCTGAATGTTTTGCCTGAATTCTGATATTCTTAAAAACTATCATGTACCTTTACTCAAAAGGGTAAAATTACTCTTATCAACATATCAAATCTGTAAACGTGCAGAAGAACATTTCTCCGTTTGAATCGGAATTTTTATTGGGTTTCCCGAAAAAACAACGGAAAGAGAGCACAAACGGGCTCATATCCATTCTTCCCTTCTTTTTGTTCTTATTTTTTCAAAATTTTTATATTTTCAGAAATTTTCTGGAAAAATGGAAATTGAAATGTAGATGTTTTATGAATTCAAAACAGAAGCTTTTCCTCTTTGAATTCAATATTATTGTTTTCATCCACTTCGTTCCGCTTGAGCACTTTCGTATCTCCGTATATTTCCAATTTTTTTCAGTCAATCTCGGATTCTGTTGACTGAAATTCGGGTCGACGCGATGTCGTCGACGAGCAGTATCTGCTCTTCAAATGACGCTGATTTCATTGTCGATACGCGGATTCCGTCGACGATCCGGAGAGATATTGATCGATTTTCAGTGTTCATCAATCGGCTTCGGGCAACGTTGGATCTCAATTCGTCTATCGTTGGTTAGTGTAATTGGAGAGATGAGAAGATGACCAAAAAATTTGTGAAAATTGAAAACTAAAATCAAAAAATAAAAACAAGAAGATTTAGAAAGTTGATTCAAGCTTGAGTCTTATTCGGTTATCATTAATAGTCTAGAAAAAGAATGAAAAAGGAAAATTTATTTTTCAAAAATACCTTACCAAAACAAATTTTTTGAACACTTCAATCTGTTCAAAAACCATGCTGAATTTCCTCCTTTTACCGCCTAAAACTACCGCAATGTCAACCGATAAATTGTTTATCAGTACATCATCAAGATTTCATTAGTTGATACATTTTGGATATCTTGTAAAGGAGCCAGGATACCGTATTTTCTCTAATAAAGGCCCATGGTCTTCTATTTTAAACCTTTTTCTTAAGTTGGACTTTAATTAAAGAACCAGCTTAAATTATACGGTTTTCGGTTTTTAACTGAATCAACATAACTGCTCGAAAAGCCTCCAAAGTGAACGGAAGTTACCAGAAAATCAGAAAAAATGAAAATGCCTACAACGGGAGGGGTTCAATTAAAGGTCGACTTCAAATAAAGGTGGGCTTCTATTAGAGCAAATACAAAAAATGAGATCAAACTCTATAGTGTAGGGGCTTTGTATTACAGGCGTTAGGTACATATTTTTGGTGACGACTTGGGAGAGACTACCAGAATTCAAGTCCTCTGAAGTCGACATCTTGCGTTTTGAACCGCAGAATTACCTAAAAATCAGAATGAATTAATTTTTACAGACGGCGAATCAATGTGCGTAAATGTGCACGCATCTCTAGAAATGGTTTCTGAGTCGATGCGAGACTTGTTCAAATACTCTCAATTCAAGACGAATCCCATCATTTTGCTGTCTCTTCAACTTGTGCAAGCCGTCAAAGGTAGGTGGAGAAGAGAGTGCTCCTTTCTCATATGAGATCTCTTCTCATCGGGAGGCCTCTTCTGCACACACATTTCTCATTTAATTTTACTTTCTCTCTTTTGGAGAGAAACGGCACAAAAAATGTTGTTGTATATGTGAGTGTATGTGAGTGCATCATCACAGGAATACTAAACGTCCATTAGGTCGATGTTCATTTCATTTTCGTCATAATAACAGTTTTTCCGAGAATTCCCCTCTCTTTCCAATAATAAAAAATAGTCTGAAAATGTTTTGATTTACAGACTTGAAATTCGATACGTGCTCAGTGGATACAACACCGGTGCTAAACATTATCGATCAGTTGGAATCAGCTGTTTTAAACATCATTCTGTGAGTTTTCCTTCTTCCTTCTCGTCACCTTCTCATCGTCCCTTACTTTTTTTTAAACTCGTGATTCCCACACACACATTTTTTCTCACCTCGTTCGTTTTCCTCAGTATCTCGATCGCTTCTCATTTTTCTTCTTTAAAAAATGATTTGTTTCTCTGCTGAACTCGATTTTTGAAACTAGCAAAATAATAAAAATGAGAGGAAATGGATTTTGAACGAGGAAGGACTTGGATAAGGTAAGCATTTTGCAAAAAATCAAATCCAAAATTCTGATATTTGAATTGGAAAGCTGGGTATTTTTTCTATCGATCATTCAACTGATGTGATTCATCGCATAGTTTTTTTCGTTACTCTATTTTCCCATACTTCTTTGAAAATACAAAAAGTGAATTGTTTATGTGCTACCTCCCACTCTTTTTTATATACCGGAAACCCTGTATTAGAAGGGCCGACCCTTCTATTGTTCCAAGGTACCTCTGGAGGGCTCTTCTATTAGAGGGGACCTTACTGCAAGCCTTTCTTTTTTCCGGCCGAAAATTTTCAATCAAAAAATTTGTGAATTCTTGTTCAAAATTCATGTAAATGTATTCACCAAAATTTAGCAGAGTTCTAAGCAAAGAAGAGTGGAAATTCAAGAACGTTTTCCACTGAAAATGTGCAGGCATCTTTAATTTAATTTACATTTTGAAGAATATCCTTCTATTTTTCCAAGCCCTTCTCGGGGGAGGGGGGGGGGCCTTCTATCAAAGGTCCCTTCTATTACATGTTCCACGGTATTTGAGTTACAATCTATTTCAAATGTTTCTAATGTTTCACAAAACCAGAAAAACCATAAAACCACAGTCAGGATTTTTTTTCAAAAACAGATACCAGTGAAAGGAGGCTGTTTGAGATTCAATATTTTTGAAGTTAGATGGTTCCCACACTAATAAATTGACCTATCGAAAAGTAAACTCTGAGAACCAATTAGAAAGTGATAGGTTCAATTTTCCAGACATTCTGGGAAAAATCTGAAAATGTCTATTTCATTAACCTAGCTTATAACTGTGCCTGGTCTTGAACGGATTCTGTTCAATCGTACCATACGTTTTTTGAGAGTTAGGATCATCGAAACAGTTTTTAACCAGAAATTCATAGAAAAAATACAAAAATTTTTTTTTCATTGGGTTCTCTCGACACAGCTGCGCATATAGCTTTCTAGGTTTTTATACTGCTCGACCTATTATTCTTGTGCAAAAAATTGGAGTTGTGGCCGAATTTTCACACAAGTTAGACCACCGTATTTCAAGGAGAATATTCGAAAACACAGCCGGCAAACGAGTGCTACCGTAACCCAACAATAAATATTTTCGCAAAATTTTTGTCTTATTTTTTTCCTTTTTATCGGTTTTTCTCGATTTTTTCGCGGTTTTGGCCGTTTTTTTACCCCAATAGTTTCACCGGGGATCCTCTAGAGTCGACCTGCAGGCATGCA